TTCCGTACATACACTTGCAGCAGAATGTGAGCGAGAGGAACACCTGTTTCTCTCTATGGTGAATCCCAGCTGATCCCTCCCGTGCTATCAGCTGACTGTGTCGTCTGCTTTTACACTTCACCTTTCCTCAAATTTATTCGTTTCTTTCCTGTATTTACCCCTTTTTCGTGACATTCCCTCTCACGTGACGACTCTAAAGTCAACATATCATGCGCAATGGGTTGTGAAATGTCGATAAGAAGCCGGAATATCTTTAAAAAAGGCCGGAATGTAAGCGAGTCTCACCTGCACCGGCGGCGTGTAGGGTTGGTGGGAGAGAACCTCGGCGGCGCATATGACGGGGAGGGTGAAGGGTGGGCGGGGTGGGCGGGGTGGGCGGGGTGGGTCAGGAGGATACGAGTGGACTGGTAAGGGAGTGGGTGGGTGGGCTGAGGCAGGGAGGGTGTTGGGGGGCTGGGGGTGGGTGAAGAGCGGTGCGGGGTGGGTCTGGGGGGACTGGTAAGGGAGTGGGTGGGCGGGCCGAGGCAGGGAGGGCGTTGGGGGCTGGGTATAGGGTGAGCGGCTGTGGGTAGTGTATGGGTTGGGGGGGGGGGCGGGTTGGCGTGGTGGAGGAGAGGTGGTGGGGCATGGGGAGGGGCGGGGGGGGGGGTAGAGAATTGGAGGGAAGACGGAGAACAGAAAGCTAATCCATAGGGGGGGGGGGGTCACGGAGGAGGGGGAGAGGGGGCACTGAGATGGGGGGTGGTTGGGGGTTTAAACGTAATCTAGCAGCGGGTATATGGGTGGATAAATGGGTAGAGGGGTAAGCTGGCTGCGAGGAGGAGGAGGAGGAGGAGGAGGAAGATGAAGAGAAGGAAGAGGAGGAGGAGGAGGAGGAGAAGGAGGAGGAGGAGGAGGAGGAGGAGGAGGAGGAGGAGGAGGAGGAGGAAGAGAAGGAAGAGGAGGATGAGGAGGATGAGGAGGAGGAGGAGGAGGAGGAGGAGAAGAAGAAGAAGAAGAAGAAAAATGAGGAGGAGGATAAGGAGGAAGAGGGGGCGAAGGAGGAGGAGGAGGAGAAGGAGCAGGATAATTACAGAACCAAAGAGAACTAGATATATGGAAACGGACAAATAATATAAACAGAGGGCACACACACACACACACACACACACAAACACACACACACACACAAATCAAAACAACAACAAAAACTCAAGAACAATAACTAACAAGGAAGAGAGTGAAAGAAGAGAGAGCTGGAGGAATGACCATGAACAAGTGAGAATATCAAATAGATCGGCTACTTTTTACGAGACCAAGATGGCGGCGGTCAGTCTCGCTGTCGCTAAGCTACTTGGGGGACAAGGTCTGGGGGCGTGGCTAATTTGTATTATGGATTTCTTTTATTCATCATTACTGTTGTTGAAGGTGTTGTTTTGTTGTGATTATTATCATTGGTGTTATTGTTGTCCTTGTCTTTATCATCATCATCATCATCTTCATTATCATCATCATTATCATCATCATCAATATCATCATTATCAATATCATCATCTTCATTTTCATCATCATAATCATTATTATCATCATTATCATTATCATTATCATCATTTATCATCATCAGCAGCAGGTTATTATAATTATAATTATAATAATCGTCATTATTGCCATCACTGTCATAATTATCACCATCATTACCACCACCACCATCATGATCATCGTCATACTCATGATCGTCATCGCCACCATCACCATCATCACCATCACCATCATCATCACCATCACCATCGCCATCACCACTATCAACATCATCATTAAAATTGCCATTGTCATAATCATCAGGTAGAAAAACCCACAATGCAGAAACCATTACCTTTATTTTGATCAACAACATCATCATCTATGTCAGTGGCGTTCTCCTTAATTAATAATGTTATGCAAACACTATTACAGATTTTTTTTTCGTTGTTATTATTGATGTTGCTATTTTTACCGTTTACAATCGCCGTGCCCTTGTTGATATATTTTGCAATTATTTTTGCTTGTATTGATGTTCTATCACGATCGATATTATATCATATAAATAAACAGTGCCTCTCCAACAAGTAATATACATTTAATACAAAGACCAACGTATAAAATAAGAATTAAAATTTGGAATGGCAAAACAGACAGACTCTACCTACTTATCAACATGGACTGCCATATCGAAATCCTGGTGCAAAAGAAAACGAAATTGCCCTATGTTTCTACTGCAGAGAAAGTCCAACCTGGCCTTGAGCGAAAATATATGCGTTGCGTTCTGTTTCTTTTCTATTCTTTTTTTTTAATTAGACTGGATCATTATTTGTATTGTTGTGGGCGTCGTTATATGAAAACGATAAGGGTAATCATGTTGCAAATCTTAATGATGATGGCGATGATGGTAATATATTGATAAGTTTCATTATTTCGCTATCATTATCATTGTTGAAATCGTTATTACCGTTATGGTTATTGGTTGCAATTATTGGTATCATAGCATTCATTATTGTCACTGAAATCATCCATGCGAGTACATTGCTATTGTTATTTGATATTATTTTTTCTATAACTATATTCTTTTCTATAACTATATTACTTTTCTGTTTTCAATTATGTCACTTTTGTTATTTTCTTTATCATTGTTTCTGTTAGAAGTAATTATTCCCTTTAGCACTATCTAGTTAATGAAAGTGATTAATAATAATATAATGATAACTATAATGAGATGATAGTAATGATAATAATGGTGTTAACGGTGGTAATGATAATGATGACGATAATAGCAATGATGATGGTGATGATAATGATAATGATTAAGATAATAATAGTAGTAGTGATGATAATAATGATAATGAGAGCGATATTAATTATGATCCGATAAGGGTGATGATAATTGTGATAATAATGATCATAATGATGATGATAATGAAAATGAAAATGATAATGATGAATGATAAATGATAAAAATAATATATAAGTATATATCTGACCATTATTTCGTATGATATACTTTGAAAATCCAATCTATTCCAAATCAATAAATCCAATATATACATTTATACTCAAAGGTCAAGGGTTCCCAGTGGAATAAAATCTTCCGTAATTAATCCTGTACGCTGGGCCATCGCGAAAAAAAAGAAAAAAAAAGAAAAAAAAAAGCTACACGTTGTCATGCCTGAGTACGACACAAATACTCTTTTTAAAATTGTTTTATCCGTAAAAACGTCACAATTATACAAATCATGTTCTTTCCCTCTCTTCTAATCTTCGAAAGAACTAAGTTTTGCCTTTAAGTGTCGAGGCAGAAGTGAGTGGGAATTGCATTCGTGGAAGTGGTAGACTTTGATCCGGATTAATCATCATGCACTCTCTCTGGGGATATTGACAATATATAGATTTGCTACGTCAACAGGACGGTCAGTCTCGATTTGGTTAAACTACATTTTTTCCCCGGTCTGGTAACCTGCGATGAATATATCCGTTGAGGTTACTTGGTAAACAGACTCACTGACAGAAAGCACATTTCATGTCACTGTAAAGTTTAATGGAGTTTAATGTCACGTGTATAATTTTAATGATCTACAAGAGCAGAGAGTGTGTATCGCCATTGAATCCCTGAACAAATAGGCAATAGGCTTTCGCATCATTCTAATAAAAACGTTTCCAACTATTTCTTCTCGGTAGTTTCGTAGGAATTCGTACAATAAAGTAGCAAATATAATGTCAGTGCAAATGAATTCTGTCTCTCAGATTTTTACTGGAAACAGGAGTCCCACCGAATGCCTATCGATTCAGTCAACTGGCAGAGCTGACGGTGCGGTAAAGTTATTATTGATATTATTAGCTGTATCTTTATTATTACTACCATTATCAGTATTGTATTATGAACATATACTTTTCATTATAACTATCATTATTGGTTATATGATTATCATCATTATTTTTACTAACTAATATCATTATTATTACTATCATGATTACGATTGTTGTTGTTATCATTATTATTATTATTATTATTATTATTATTACTATTATTATTATTATTATTATTATTATTATTATTATTATTATTATCATTATTATTATTATTATTATTATTATTACTGTGATTATCATTATTATTATTAGTAGTAGTAATATTATTATTATCATTATTATTATTGTTATCGTTATCATTGATTATAAAATTATTACCATTATTATTATTATTATTATCATTATCATTACTATGATAATGATAACAATAATAATAATAATAATAATTATTATCGTCATTATCATTATTACTATCATTACCATCATCATTATTACTATTATGAATGTTATAATCCTTATTATTATTATTAATATCAATATTATTATTATTACTATTGTTATTGTTATTATTATTACTATTATTATTATTATTATTATTATTATTATTATTATTATTATTATTATCATTGTTATTACTATAATTATTATCATTATTATTACTATAATTATTATCATCTTATTATTATTATTATCATTATTATTATTATTATTATTATTATTATTATCATCATTAATCATTACTGTTATTGTAGTTATCATTATTGTTATCATTATCATTATTATTATTGTTATTACTATTATTATTATTATTATTATTATTATTATTGTTATTATTATTGTTATTATTATTATTATCATTATTATTATTATTATAATTATTATCATCATTATCATTATTATCATTATTATCATTATTATCATTATTATCATTATTATCATTATTATTATCTATATTATTATCATTATTATTATTATTATTATTATTATTATTATTATTATTATTATTATTATTATTATTATTATCATCATCATCATTATCATCATCATTACTGTCATTATTATTATTATTATCATAGCTACTGTAATCATCATTACCACTATCATTATTACAGTTATTATTATCATTATTATTAGGAGTGTTATTATTATTACTATTTTTATCATCATAATCATGATTATCATCATCATCGTTATCATTATCATTATTATTATTGTTATCATTATTATTATTGTTATCATTATTATTATCATCATAACAATAAAAATAATAACAACATTATTATTAATGTTATCATTACGATTATTGTAATTATTATGATTATTGTTATTATTATGATTATTGTTATTATTATTTTCATTATTTCTATTATTATTATAATTATTGCTATTATTATTATTATTATATTGTTATAATTATCCTTATTATTATTATTTTCATGATTTCTGTTAATGTTATCATTATTATTATTATTATTATCATTATTATTATTATTATTATTATTATTATTATTA